TGTATTCGAGTCAATGAATCGATGCAATCAACTGGTTTTCCTTAGATAGAAAACTTTGAATCAATTTGACTGTATGAGCTGGTTGAACTGTAAAGTGCCTTGACATTTGTTGTGAACTGGCGCTAAATAAATAAACTGAATTAAATTTAATTCATATATATATATATATATATATATATATATATATATATATACAGACGTAACCTTTATTTTGAAGGATGTGTGGGAATAGGAGTATTTGTACCAGAGTTTAAAATATATATATTTCTAAAAGAATATCAGTTCAACTGTCTGTTTTCACAGCAGAAATGGTGGCAGTTATACTAAGCTAACAATGGGTAGAGGAGGTTAGAGCAGACAGGGTGGTGGTCTGTACAGATTACAAAGCAGTTTTAGAAAATATTCAGGGAGAAGGAAATGATAGAAAAGATTTAGTATCAGTAATCCAGTACAGTCTATTCAGATTATAAAGGGGTGGCACTGATATTCTGTGTTGGGTTCCAGCACATGAAGGTGTAAGTAAAACGTATAAGTAGCAAAAAGGGCTTTAGAGGGAACAATTACAATTCCTTTTGGGAAAGGGGAAGGAAAATCACTTATTAAGAGTAAAGAAATAGAAAAATGGCAAAAGACGTGGAAAGAAGATAAGAAAGGAAGAGGATTATGTAAGGTACAAAAAATTGTATTAAATAGAATCATTAATGAGAGAAACAAAAGGGAAGAAGCAATAATCATCAGATCAAGAGTGGCTTATACCTATTTAATTGACAATTTATATTTAAAAATAATGATAAATGTGAAGGATGTGGAGAAAAAGAAAATGTAGAACATGTACTGAACTGTAAACTTATGAACATGAAAGGGAGAAATTGAGAAGGATGGTTGAAAGGACAGGCAAATAATGGATTCTTAAAGGATTATTGGGAAATGAAGGAAATATAAAGGATATTCACAGTTTAAGGAAAGCATTATTTATTTATCTACAGAAAACAAAATAAAAAAAATAGAATTTGATATAAAGTCATGTTGCTACACACTCGTGTACAGTAGGTGGCGGTATGCAGCTTAAAGTTGCTTGCAATCCTCCATAATAGAAAAGAAGAAGTAGAAGAACCTTTATTTTGAAAGGCCCAGACCGGATATTCTGTTCCCGCAGCAGGAAGTAGGAAGGATGGAACCCTGATGGAAACCCTTTGCAATAGTTAATATGATAGCAGTTCTAAAGCCTCCCTACATGGGCCAACCTCTAGTTTAAACCAGTCCTGCATGTCTTCTTCGACTCTTTAAATTGCTCTTTAGTATTTATTAGGTAGTAATATTTCCAACAGTCTAATAGTGCAATAGTTCACCCTGTGTAATTACACACCAGCAGTCTTTCCCATCTTGCATCCTGGCGGTCCCTTGTTTCGATGGCACTTATCTCCCGAAGCAAGAAAATCAGTTTTTGCTTCTTACTGTGGATGATCTGGAAACATACCTACAGAAAGGAAAGTTTAAAACGTAAGTAGTGACAAACCTTGCTGGGTAGGTTTTGCTGCCTGTAATTTTATTAATTTTTTTTAATTAAAGTCAACAATAATATATAAAATATACAAATAAACAAACAAATATGCCAGGGGCTATGTCACAATAAACAAGAATAGTCAGGAGGAGAGACAAACAAACTGAAAAACATGTTATTAAGAGTGTCATCTATCTATCTATCTATCTATCTATCTATCTATCTATCTATCTATCTATCTATCTATC